CGCCGCCGCCCTCGCCGCCGCCGCCCCGGCCCATGGCTCCCGGCTGGCCCGGCCGCCTCCTGGGCTGCTGCTGCTGCTGCTGCGGCGGCGGCTGCTGCTGCTGCTCCGGGCGGGGATGGGGGGGGAGGAGGAGGAGGAGGAGGAGCGGCGGGGGGGCGGAAGTGATGAAAGGGGCCGCCACGCCCGGGGCTCTCCTCGCCGGCCGCGCCGGGGGCACCGGGGACGGAGCCCGGCGCGGCGGGGCGCGCGGGGCGGGGCGGGGCCGCGTGTGCACGCCTGACGCGCGTCGCCCGGCGTGTGCGGACGAGCCCGCGCGTGTGCAGGAGCAGCGCGGCCCCAGCGGCTCGGATTGGCCCGTGCGCAACCCCGCCCCCCGCTCCTCTCTCTCTCTCTCGGGGGTGGGTGGGGGCGTGTGTGTGTGTGATGGTGCGAGTTTGGGATGGGCGTCGAAACAGCCTAACCTACCTTACAGGGTTGTTGTTGAGAGGATCAAAATGGAGGAACATAAGCCGCTTGGATTCCTCACAAGAATAAGAAAGGCAGGCTATATAAAGGCAACAGAATAATAATACCAATAGCACACACAAATTTATGTCCTGATGTTTATGTGTTTACAGAGACGCGAATAATGGACGGCATACCAATTTTATACATAAATAAATATCTGTTGGCTGTTTATTGTGTCCGAGTCTCCTTAGCAATGGCGGGAATGAACCCACAGGGAAGACTGAATCGCCTTGAACCCCGGCATTTCCATTAGTGAGGTCACCCAGACCCCTGCAGTTTACGTACAACCGCATGCCACCAGGTAGCGGTCCTCACAGGCAACTACAAGATTTGAGAACATACACAGAGTGTTTTATAGGTTCTGAGTCACAGGTACAAGAAGGGCAGGTAACGATAAAATAAGGGAAACAGGGACACAGTGAAAAAGAATGAGAGAGATCTTGCAGAGAATACTTAATACAATAGAGTCTAGAATCGATCACACAAGATTAGGATCCAGGAAGGCAAGGATTTGTTGTAACTCTTGGCTGTGAGTTTGAGCATGCGAATTAGGGTGCCTGCAATGCAGCCAAAAGGCTTCTCTGGTTGCCTTATCAGTTTTGTGGTGTTAGCCCAAGAATAGCTGCTCTCAGACAAAGTCCCAATTAAAGGACTAGCAATGCTAAACCTGGCTTGGAATTCGACTACTTTTTGTGGAGGTTTGATCTTATAACACAAAGGCACAAAGAATTAAAATTAAAATCCTGATAATTCTTCTACCAGGGTTTATCTGAATTGCACGTGATAGGCAGGTCATGAGCAGAACCGGCTGGAGCCGGGGGTCAGACTAGATGGCCCAGGAAGTCCCTTCTGACTCGTTCAGTTTCTATGAATTCTCCAGCAACTGGGACCCCACGCATAGATTTGGCAGAAAGCCTCGAATCCCCCAACCCCATTATGGATGTTTCTTGGATAGAAAGCACGCCAAATCCGATGCCACTTATTCTCAGGAAAATATATGCATAATGGTAGCCAAGCTTAGTTCATGTGAAATTGGAACTCAGCCCCTTCCAAGATTAACTCACATTTATGGTCCGGAAGCAGCATAACCAGTTCCACTTCTGAGTCTGTGTTTATGTCTGTGTGCTTTCATGTGTGCTTTAATGTACCCTTCCGGGCTTAGCCACTAATTTTACAATGTATATGAACGCATAACATGCCTTCCTTCAAAAAAGAGAACAGTCCAAAACCCTTTTTCTGCTTTCAGCAGAGCTTGAAAACAACTGTCAAAAGGACAAATGCTTTGGAGTGCATCCTGACTTTACTCATTGCCTCGCGGCAGACCACCCCTGCGTGTGAGCAGCGATGTTTCCTCTCGCCCTGCAAATCCTCCATCGGCATCCCAGGAAGCTCACTCCCCCTGCTCCAGATGAAATGGCTGTAAAGCTCTTGAAACAGAAACTTCCGAGAGTGCAGTCAGTAGCCACCAGGCCAAGCCAGCCTGATTTTTTGCTTACCTCTTATTTTATTCTAGAATAATTCCAAGAACAGTTTGCAGTCTTCGTGGCCCTAAATGGCTGTAGTCTATTTCGAGGAACATATAGGAACAAGCCCCCCACCCCTCCCAAGCAGCAGATGTTCTATTGCTCCCAAATGCCTTCATGGGAGGCAGCTGAGCAGGGTCTTTTCAGTGTCGGCCCCAAAGAACGGGCCGTGCTGCTTCCCCCCCCCCCCCCGCTCTCTTTCTGAATGCAGCCCAAAGCATTTCCTTTCCAAAGAAGCGTCTAAGTAGACTTTCCCCACAAGCAGTAATTCCAACTAAATGAAGCAGGGGCCAATTTCACCAACCTTCCCCCTTGTTCCTTTTGTGAACAGTCTGGAGATTGTTAGCCTGCGGGCCAGGGACTGTCCTGTCCGCATTTCACTGGAGCCAAGATCTGCCCTTCCTCCACAGGAAAGCCTCAGCTTAGCCTAATTTCAGCTGATTCCCCCCTCTTGTTCACGACGTAGCTCGTCCCGTTCAACAGGACTCTTGTCTCGCCACATATTATTTTTATTATTCTATTTGTAAATAATACAAAATAGAATAACAACAAGAAAAGAGAGAGAGAAAAAACACAAGAGAAAGTACATGCGGGGTGGCAGGGAGACTCTGAACTCATTCGAGATAACTTTCTGTCGCCTTCTCGTTAATACCAGAGCAATAAGCAAAATATTTATGCTCACCTGTCAATTAGAGAGGCAAAAATACCTCTTGCAAGGCAATTTATTACTCTTCTGATGAGATAAGGAAAGGAGTGGCATCAAGCCACTGCCAACCAAGCTGCCATGTCCCCAGAAGTCTCTCTGCATATTATTTTAAGGGATGGTGGAGAGGCCTCTGTCCCCACCCTTGTTCCAGCTAAAACCTGAAACCCATGGTGCATCAGCCACTCTCCAAGGGCCTTTTTGGGCTGAGGAATGGATCAAAATGCTCATTAAATTCCGGGTGCTGTAAATTTCCAAATTCAAGAGGGTTCTGAGCATCTTGCGCAGAAAGAGGGAAGCCATGGATGCGATCGTCCTCCTCCAGGGAAGGAAGCGGAGCACTGCCTAAATCTCCTTGCACCCCTGTCTCCTCACCATCCGAGAAGAACCCCTTTACCTTTTCTCTGACAGCTTTCTGACCTCAGAGACAAGTTTGGCACAGTTCTTCCAGTGGGGCTGTGAAAGGGGGCAGGATTGAAGCACAGACCCCACAGTTCCAAGGGCAGAACTCTGTTTCAGAGCTGAGAATCTGACAGATGGTCCCCCTGTGGTACCATCCAGGGCTCATAGGATCGCTCTGCCCATGTTAAAACCAGCGACGTTCTCAATTTCTTTCCTGAACTTCTTATATCATTGCTGGGGTTCCTCTTGTTGAAGTCTTCATTGCCGTAAATTATTCGATGGCTTTTTAACCAATGAGGTTGTTGTTGGGAAAATACAGCTAAATCCTAGCAAAAAAGGGGTGCTGGTGTGTCTTTGTGTTATAACATGCCTGCACCCCTTTGTCTCAGGAAGCACCCCAAAACAATTCCAAGCCAGGTTACTGCTGGGCATTTGTCGCTGGTTTAAGAAATGGGGGCTGAGAGGTTGCCCAGAAGCTGCCGGGCTCTTGTTCCGCCGGTCAGTAAGAACCGGTCAGGCTGCCGGGTTAACCGCATCGCAATCCCCCTCATTTGCACGCCGGGACCCACAATCCTCCTGCGATCCTTTTGTCGCTGTCCTGCGATCAAGTGCCGTTGCACGGAGCCCCCTCTGTGCACCCCTCCCCTCCTCCTCTGCTCCTCTTGCTTCGTTTATTTATGTAAAACGTTTATCTGCCTCCCTCATGCATGGCATCTCAGGGCGGCTTGCAATCAATAGAACAACCGTCTCAATAGAGTAAATAGCCAGAAAATACAAGTGAAATAAAAAGGGACTGTTGGACATTAACATTCAATTTTAAAATAACAATTAAATAAAAAGGTTTGACCCGGCGCCGAAAAGAATATGAACTCGGCACCAGGCGAACCTCTCTGGGGAGCACATTCCACCGTCTTGTCTTGTCATCGACTGCCCAACTGCCGGGCCCATGTGACTCAGGACCTATAAAACACTCTGTGTATGCTCTAACAGCTTGTCGTTGGCGGTGAGAAGCACTTCTTGGTAGCATGCTGTCATAGGTAACTGCAGGGGGGCCGGGTGATCTTTCAATAAAACTGCTGAGGTTCAAGGCGAAAGGGGTCTTTGGGGGCTGCCATCGAGGTTTTCCCGACATAGTATTTAACGGTTTCTGATAAGTACTAGAATGTTTTGTTGCCTCTGTTTTTTAAAACCTGGATTTCAAAACAAGACGCGGTGCCATGACGCAGAGGAGCTGCATGAAGCAATGGATCCCGGGCTCAAAGGCTGATGGGCATCTCCGCGGGGCAGTCCTGGAGGTCCCCCTGACACAAGGCTTAATCAGAGAGCCGAGACAGGCCGGGCCTCGCCAGCCCACATTCCGGAGCCGATGGGTGGAGGAGGCCCACAGCGACCGCAGCCGGCCGGCGTGTACGCACAAGTCCGTTCGAGGGCCAGAAAAAGGGTCCCTAGTGGCAGAAATTTATGCGCCTCTCTCACGGCTTTTGGGCAGGCGCCATCGCCCGGCTGGCAGCCAGGCGAAGGGAAACCGCTCTGCAAAATTGGATTGCTTGTGAAGCGACGCAACGCGGAGCGTGCAAATACGGCCCCAAACCACCCAAAGCCGCTTTTTAAATTTCCGGGCAAGTGTGTGGGGCTTTGGGATACACTGCTAAATGCGGCTGTTTTGTTTGCATCTTTTGCATACCGAATTCCTGGGGTGGAGCAGGTGACGAGGCAGCCTCCTCCTTCAGGCAAAAACGGCGTTCGTGGTCTGATTTGCTCCACTCGTCCCTGCATCTCTCGGTGAAGAAAACTGCAACTGAGCGGGTTCTGCTTACACTTCAGGTAGACCATCACTGCAGGAGACATTCAATGCTAAGGAGAGTCAAAGGCAGGAGGAGAGGAAGGCCAAATCGGAGATGGATCGATCCTGTCAAGGAAGCTCCGGACTTGCGTTTGCAAAAGCTGAGCAGGGCTGTCAAGGTCAGGCCCTTCCAGAGCGCACTCAGGCATAGGACTGCCCCACGTGGAAGATGGCTTGATGGCGCACAACAACAACAACAACGAGTAGATCTACTGAAATCAATGGGACTTACATTAGGTAACTCCAGAGTGGATCCAGGCCTTCCCCCTTTTCACTTATCTTGCAATTGATCAATAATCATCTATACTCTATGAGTTTGGGTTTGTTGGTATCATTTAATATTGCCACCATGTTTACATCGCCCCTTTTCCCCTGTTGCAAGGAACTTGAGGTGGCGTTCAAGGCTCACCTCCTTCCTAGGTCATCTTCACAACAACCCTGTGAGGAAGGACAGCCCAGAATCAGTGACTGGCCCCCAATCGCTCAGTCAGCTTCACAGCTGAGTAAGGACCAGAGCTCCGATCGCTTGAATTCCGCTGCAGCAATCTTAGTCAGCCCAGATCGACAAAGCTGCCTGCGTTTTTGGCCTCTCCTTGGGGGTGGGGTGGGGTGGGGGGGGGTGGGTGGCTGTGGGGACTGTCACAGAGAGTGAACCATGCCGCAGCGCTAGAATTCATGTGCAAGCACTGACAGAAAGGTGTGGACTTAACACATCCGCAAGATTGATAGCCTGCCTAATCCTGGGTGGAGCGGCTTCAACCCAGCCGTAAAGCGTAAAGTGTAAAACTCGCCGGATGGTAAGTTGATCCCGCATTTCTGCAGGCTCCCGGAGCTGCGAGCGTCTTCCTTGCTAGACCACTTGGTGCCCACTAAGAGCAGAGGCTGTGCTTTGATTCGCTCGGGGATGCCCAGACTTGCCTGGTGGTAAAGCAGGACGAAGGGGTTGTGTGTCCACGGCGTTCAGCTCACACCAGAACGTGTTGATTCGGCCCCAGGAGGAGTGATGCCTCGGGCCAGAAGCCTGCATAAGGAGAATCTGGGCTGCTGCAGCCTTTGCTAAATGACATCCATTTTCCCCGGACGGTCTAAAAGGCAGTGCACACATCCGAAGAAGCTGGGAATGAAAAAGAGGAGCGCACTTCCAGAAACAGCCCTAGACGTGACAGAAAAGGGGTGTTCCAAAGGGCACATGGAGGGAAGGAAGCTTTGCGCTGGATGACGGCACGAAAGGGTTAAATCCGGTCCCCACCAGGCTGCAGCCCTAACAAAAATAATTCCCTCCACTTTTGGGGTTTTATTTCTTGCTTTAAAGCCACGTGGCATGTTTGGTAATGCATGGCCATCATATCACTGCGCCTCAGTTTCGTCCTCAAACCGGCACCTTCCTGATCTCGAACTTTTATAGTTCCAAGGCAGTGGGGGGAAACCCTTCCCCTGTTGAATATCTGCCTGCTCTGCAGCTGCCACGTGGATTTGAGTGCTTCTTGCATTAGGCAACACGGGATGTGTGTCTTTTCTGGGCACCTCCCACAAAAAGGATCCCAGCAAAGCAAGGGCGGCGGGCAGGCAGAGCAACTACAGCCGGACACGTTAAGGTAGCACATTATGAAATGGTTCATATTTAATATGAATATTAAACATTTCCAGTCAAGGCTGAGAAGAAGTCTTCTGCATCCTGCACCTGACAAAAACTCCAGAATCTATTTTCCAAAGCCAGACTTCCTTCTCCAAAGGTGTGACGAAGGCGCACTTGTGGCAAAATCCCATCGGAGCATCACCGTCCAGGGCTGATGCACTGGAGATTAAGGTACCGCATAGATCAAAAGGCTCTTGATGTCGTTTGTATACGTATTTGGCTTTCCTCGTCTCAGAGGACTCACGGGGAGGCTGTATCCCCTTTCTGCCTTCTTGGGAGGTACCCCCTTCTTAGCCCCCCCCCCCCCGCCAATAATTAGATATTGGAGTGTACGAGATGCTGCAGAGGGAAACAAGCAACCAGCCCCCCCAGCTCTGCCGGCAGAACGGCTTCGTTCAGTGGAAGAACGCTGCTCGGATGCAACCCAGTCAGAAGCACCTTGTCGCAAGACAGCCGCTTTTATCCCGCTGTTGCACAAAACATGGTTACAACGCTGTGAAACTCACGCGGGCAGAAAAAAGGGGAATCAAGAGAGTGTGCGCAGGCAAAGAAAGCACACCAGCAAAAAGAGAATCTGGGGGAGACCAGAGAAAGCTGCATCTTACAAAATCGAGCCATTGAGTTGGACCAGGAACAGCCATCAGAGGTTTTGGGCCAGGGTGGATGTTGTCCCCAGTCTTACCCGGAGAAGGCAGGCAGTCTGCATAAAATGACTGGCTCCTGCCAATGGATTGTTGGCCTTCCCCAAGAAGAAAACAAGGTTCTGTTCCTCATGGATCTGAAGAAAGCTAATTTAGATCGCAACCCACTCTAAGCTGGATTAAATCCTTGGTCCTAGCTCAGTATTTGCTACACAGGTCAGTGATGCCTCTGCAGGTTTTCAGACAAGAGGGCTTTATCGGCGTTATCTGGGAAACGTACCGGGATTAAACCAGGAACTGGCTTGCATGCAAAGGAGGTGATTTGCTATTGAGCTACATCTCCTCCCATCTGCAAAAGGACCTTTGCTATCAGGTACCTAGACTGGGCACCGAGCACAGACTTCCAGAAAGGCTGTTGCCCACCATCACAAAGTCCCCGTTTCTCTCTGTCATCGGCATAAACACCACCCTGCTCTGGGTCATCCCGAGCGCTAGTAACATCAGCTCCGTCCAATGGATAAATCAGAAGGGAAAGGCGTCGAGTCAGCCCAGCCTCCCCGGTCGCCTCCTGCGTCCTATTTGCCACGCTGCCCTGCAGGGAGGACCTCCAGGTTCCCGTCTGCCCACGTCTCCGCATACATGTTAACAGCATAAACCGGGGTCTCCACGTCCTTCTCCGCTCCTCGGCGAGGCTTCTCGGTGCTCAGGGCTTCCTCCTCGTCCTGGGCGGGAGGGTGATGAATCTCTACCCCGAGCTGGTACACGGCTGTACCGGCTGCTGCGCCCACCAGTGGGGCCAGAACAGGAACCCACCACCAATAGTGTCCGGCACTGGAAAGACACAAGAGATGACACCAAAAGCCACAAGCCGGCCAGCTGTCGACTGCAGTGGGCTAGCTAATTTTGCAGCGTCTGTGCCATGTTGCATGAGAGCAAAGCTGCGGTTCAGGGGCGAGTACCAATGTGTACGCAGTCGCCACGAGCGAAAAGGAAGCATCGGTTTGGGGAGCCATGCGGAGAAGCGGAATGGCGTCGCCTCAAGTTAGGCATGGCTGGCTGGTCGACAGGGCAATGCAAAATGCGGTTGAGCGGCAGGGAGACTCCCCCGAAAGAAGGTTTTTCTGCCTGAGCATCTGTTGCCAACATGGCAGAAAAACCAACCATGGGCAGGAGCAAGCTCCGAAAATAAGAATGCAGATTCTTACATTTAAATTTGTAATCGAAGAATTCACGAATTTAAAAATATATTTTAGCATTATTATCATCATCGTGTCATTTTGGATGCTGAATTGCATTTGTATTTCTAAACCTCCTCCTTGTGAGACACCCAGAGAAATTGGTTTCACAAGGCGCTTCATCCATTTAACAAACAGGTGCACCCACCTGAATACTTGGGGACCCCATCCAGCCACGTAGGTGAAGAGTCGCGGCCCCAAGTCCCTGGCAGGGTTGATGGCGCAGCTGCAGTTTGCACCCATGGCCAGGGAGAGGGAGAGAACCAGCAAGCCCACGGCCAGCGGCTCCAGTCCCGGAGGGATGCGCTTGTTGCGGGCGTCGGTGATGGCCAGAATGCTCACCACCAGCACGGCTGTTCCCAGCACCTGTTCAGGACGCCGTAGTCACGACAGGCCAGGGACGGAGCGCAGGACAGGGGCCCGAATCGGGCCCTCCTGTCTCCCGCCCCACCCCCGTCCCCCACTACCAATCACTGGGTGCTTCCCCAGCTTTTGTGCCATTTCCTCCCTATCCTGAAAGCTTGAAATGCCTCTTGCAAATGTGAGCGACCGGCAACAAGAAGTTCAAGCAAGGCATGTTGTCCCCGCCTCCTTTCCCTTTGGCCCCACCCTTTCCCCTTTGCCCCACCTCCTTTCCCTTGGGCCCCCCGTTCCTGGAATGAGGGTCCCAGAGAGCTTCCCCAAGATGGAATTTGGCCCTCGGGCAGCAGAAGCTGCCTTTGGCTAACCTTCCCTGTCCCTCTGGAGGTGTGAGACCACCAACTCCCATCTTCCCCAGCCACACGCATGCCTCTGGACGGTGCTGGCTCAAGGAAGGCTGCCTAACCTGACACGTCCGAATGCCTCAAAGCTGCACGCTGCTTTCAACCATGCGCTGTATCACAGACCTCTCGAACATCTGCCTGCCCATCATGGTGGCCAGCCAGATGTTCGGGAAATCCCCCAAGGGGGCCGAGAGGCAAGGCCTGCTTGCCCCCCCGCTTTGCCCCAGCAAGTGGCAGATGGACTGCTTCTAAGCACGCCGGTTCTCTTTCTGCGGTCACAGTGAAAACCCCCGATTATGACCCGCTGGCTATGGCGGCACCAGCGTTCCCGGGGGAAACCCATCCCTACCTGGTCAAGGAAGCCGTTGCGCAGCGAGAGGTAGGGGGCCGGGTACGTGGCGAAGATGGAGGCCGTCTCGTGGGGCCCGGTGACCGCAAGCGTCCCGTTGCTGTAGCTGTGAATAGCATCTGTGGGGAGAGAATCCCAGCAGGAAGCACAAGGGGCAGCGGCTCCCCTCCTCTGTCTCCGGGACTCATACGCTCCCCCAGAAAGGTGACCTCTGGGCACGAGCAAGGTGCACCCAACGGGCGCTGCATGTGCCATGCACCACACGGCCGTTCCGGGCCCGGCAAAGCATGTTTCTAACCCGCACTAATGGCTAATTCTTCTTCATTTGGGGATTACAATAATGCAAAGCCCAAGTGGAGTCTCCACTTTTGCACGGGGGCAGAAAAACCACTGAAAAGTAAGAAGTAAAAAAGAAAAGAGCTCGTGGCACGGTCCCTGAATCTAACGAGATGTACATGCCACCCGACTGTCCCTTGCAAAATTTGGGAGGACGCGTTACCATAATACAGCGCATAGACGGTGCCTGCACCCAGAAAAGCGGCCAGGACCTGCACGGCGCAAAATATCGGCATCTTCCACCAGGGGCACTGATTGAGCAGGCACATGGTCAGCGAGAAGGCCGGGTTCAGGTGCCCTCCTGCAAGAGAGAGGGTGGAAGTTATGAGAGGGGGAGCCAGGCAGCACCCCCAGCTTGGCTCCGGATTTGGGGTGCACCTGGCTGCGAAGCTGCTGGGGCGTCTTAGACCCTGGACGTAATGCTTTGAGGGGAGAGCCCTTTTTGGTGGCCGTGTACATTAGTTCAGTTGTCAAGTGTGAAGCGAACGCTTCTCACCTCTGCTGTTCGCCCGCTACTTCTAGGTTTACAATACATTAGACACAAACAAGATAACCTTAAACTACAACTTAAACAACTTAAACTGCAATCTTGCTTCCCAAACCAAAAAGCAGACAAGAAAAACTCTGGGTGTCTGCAGTTTTGTGTTTGAAAGTTACTTCTTTCATAGCACCCATCTGACTACAAAGAGCGAAGGGACCTGGATTCTTCTGCCCTTAAGCGAAGCACTTTTATTTGGGAATAAGGCTTCATTTTGTGGTAGAACAACCCGCAAAGAAAACCCCCTCTCACCATTAGAAGAGGGAGCAGGTGAGGTTGATATCGATGGGAAAGTAGCTGGGCTGTGAGTCGCGTGTTGTTCATGGTTCGCAAACCATGGTTTGTCACTGTGGTTTGGGTTGCATGCCATAGAAACCCATGGTCCAGCGGCAGCCCACGCTCAACCCACCCTCCGTCCTGCCTTGCCATGCGAACCAGCCAGCCCCTAACCCAGAGACTGACATCCGGCGTGTTTCTTGCTGCTCCATCAGTCGCTGCTCCCCAGGGGTCTCGCTGGGGGTCATTCTGGGGGTGCCAAGGCCCACTGCCAGGCTGTGCCACCAGATCCAGAGAGTCGCTGTTGCAGCTCCTCTCCTCGCCGGGGCAGAGTTGTGGCCAGGTGTCTCTTCGGCTCAACATTAACAATCCAGCGTGCATCTTTTCCAGGAGAAGCAGGACTTTCGTGATGTGAATGGGTCTCCGGTGCCCAGTAAGGACCAGGCCACCCCAGTATAACAGAGACGCACAGGTTATTGCTAGGAAAACCTACGTCCCCCACATCCGGCTGTGTGGATTGCGGGCGAGCTCAGCAGGAACTGGGAAGATAGAGGGGGTTGGTTGATGAAGCCACTGCTCCTGCTGATTAAAGCATCTCTGTGCTTCAGATCTACGGGCCCCAATCCCTTTAGCTGTTTGGCTTTGCCCTTTTATTTTATTTGTATCCCAGAGAGGAAAACTTGGGGCCAAATGAGGCACAGGAAACAAAAAGGGCCCTGCTGTAAGTGACCCAAAGTTCATCCCTAACCCAGCATGATGTCTCCATCCGTGGTCAGCAGCCAGATACCCCAGGAAATGCTCATGCTTGCTTGCACCCGTGGCCTTGGGGCCTTGGGGCCTTGGCGCCTTGGGTCTGGAGGGAGCGGCTGAGCTTGGATACGGAGGTTTAATTTCGCTGGCTTAGCTCACGCTGTTTGGGGCAATAGTCACACAGCGGGTAAACGCGGGAGCTAAGTTCAGCCACGATAAGATAGCAAGGCTTGTTGTCAGTGGTAATTGGGAGCAGATCCTTGGCACAGAGTCCCTTTCCTGGCGCACTCGAGAGAGGCTTTGCGTTGCTCACCCGAGATGCCACCCGAGACGTGGATCGCCATCATCACAGCGATGCCGCTGGCCAGGGCTGAGCTCAGATAACCGCCTTTGGCCCCTTCGCTGGTGACGGACTGCGCGGCTGCGCTCAGCGTTATCAGCTGGGAGAGGGCCAGGTGGTTGTGGGGAAGAGAGAAGAAGAGCTTGGCATGAGTCTCCCTTTTGCTCTGACCCCAAACCTCCACTTGCCCCATGCTGCATCCCTCCCACAGCGCCATCCTGCCTGTCCACCATATGGTGAGTTTGCAAACTTACCCTGGAGAAAAACAAACACACACTGGATCTTTACATTTCCTAATGCACATACGACAAAACAGTAACAGAAGGGAGAGCCCTGATGCATCAGACCTAAAAACCTGTACAGGTCATTGCTTGGTGCATGGAGGTAGACTCCTCCTACACATGGAGGCTTCGCTCCAAATGATCAACAACCTCTCTGGATCCAAAGGCCCGTCTCGTTCATAATCTAGACTTCTGAGTCAAATGTGGCCAACTCAGTCGCTCCAGAGTTCCCACAAAGCCCCACATTTTTTCCAACCACCAATTGTTCCTGGTCTTTGGGCAGCTCCTCACCACTCTAAAAAGTCGAAATCTCTCTCTTAAGGCTTAGTGACTCACAGAGAGAAGCATACTCTTGAAAAAGCTGGAATTCGAGGCATTTTTCACCCACACTTTTTACCATGGGCCCACCCACCTGGATTACACCTCCCCTGGAATGCAGCTCCTCCCGCCCTCGCCACAAAGTTTTTCTGGAACTGCCATCCTTCTGGCACGCCGCTGCCCCTTGCAAGAACTTGGCAAAGAGCAAATGAGCACTGAGATCAAGGACTGTAAACATCGCACTGCAGACTCAGTCCCGGTGCCATCCTGAAGGCCTGGAAAGCATGCGTGCTTTTCCTTCCTCTGTACCGGCAGTGTTAGAACTCTCTCAGCCCAGGAGCCAGATGTATTTCAGAGACATATGCAAGCATGACATGGAAACACGGCAGAATGGGGCAGAACTCTGCAAGGACCGAGTGCAGGCCAGCTGGCACAGACCAGAGGGGGCTCGTCCTTGAATGCAAGTGAAACCGACACGGCTTGGAATTTGTCCGCGATGAAGGTAGTGGTGAAATTGACACAGCCAAAGGGGCTTACGACGGAACACAGGGATGCAGGGCGACTCCCCACCAGCAGGGCTTACGTCCACGTACGAAAATAAACAAGGTTAAGTTACGCTCAGGGAGGTGCTGCAAGATGAGATCTGAGCACCAGTCACATTAGACCATCTTTTGAGCAGTGACCGGAACATCCAGTGTATTTCACAATCCACGAAAGAAGCAAAACAGACCTTGGGCCCCTGAACTTTGATTTTTTTGCTCCAGCTGCCAGATCAGGTGCAATTAAGCCAATGCCCTGGGCTAGCAGTTAACAGCAAGGTATCAAAGCATGACCGGCAAGCAAGCAGGGCCAAAGAATGCCAATGTAGCCTTTTTGTTTGTTTGTTTTAGCGGACATAGTCCCTAAATGAAAAACTAAGGAAGGACCAACCTAACATCTGGTCTAAAGATAACCATATTAAAGTTTCCCATCCTGAGTTAGCTGTTTGCAAAGGCATACAGAGCATTTGGTCCAAGCAGGGTGAGATGATATTTGAATTAGAGTAGCAAAGTCTAAATTTCTGCCTATGCATGGAAATTAGTGTAGGCACACTGAATGTTGAGCTGCACCCTGTACTGTCCCCTGTCATTCTGGACAAAAGGTTTCCTCTTTTTTGACAAGTGTGCAGGGGACCTTCCAAAGAAGTCAGCCGTCCTGGGCGCCTTCACCAGGAAGGCAAGGGTGCTTTTCAGATCTGAAGACAAAGGCCGGTCTGTCTACCCTTTCGCTGCAAAAAGGTTTTCTCTCAAAAAGGATTTTAATCCCGTGCACAAAAAATGACTTTGAAACAGCCAGGCACAATGAAACACTCTAAATCCAAACGCCAGCCGGATTCCGTAGGAGGTGATGTTTTCAGGTCATCCGCATCGTCAACCTTTGGTCAGTAAGTGGCAGGGTTGCGGGAAAAGCATTTCAGAGAGTGTGTTGAATGGGAAAGCAGGGGTTCACACAACTGAATGCTTCTGCATACCAACCCCCACAAATAAGCACCCCACTCTGCTTCTTCCCTGAATGTAGGATACTAGGATCTCAGGGAGAAAGCTAGCTTGGAAGTCCTTTCCCTGAGATGCTAGCCTTTGATGAGCAAGAGTGTATTTACATCAGTGTGCTTATTATTGGATGTTTGCCACCTTGTCTCTTTGTGCCGGCGTTTCACAAACAGAAACAGGAACCGCTTGTAAGTCGGCCCCCTAATTTTTCACAAAACGGATCACCATCAAAGCCCCTGGAGTCAGCTACCCAGTGGAGAAGAGGTCTCTCTTGAAGTTTCTGCTCTCCCTGACTTGACACTGAAACTGCCATTTCTAACACCCCTTTAAAAGCCAACAGAATATTTGCTCTTCTGGGTTAAAGATGTACTAGAAAAGAAAGAAGAAAATACTTGAATTGTGTTCTGTGATACATTCTTGGCAGTTCAGATTAAATCTCGACAGAGTGTGAAACACACCTGTTGCATGTCACACAGTACGTTCTTGTACACGCACTTGCCTTTTCTACTTTAATTTGTATTGTGAGCTTTGAGCAATTGAAACAGAAACTGACCAAAAAAAAGTAAATCAACCCATCCAAATCAAAGTATTGCATGAGAATTGAATATATTCACTTGTCTCGATATGGTTGTGCACCGGATACAAGAACATTTGCTCTCAGGAAATTGCACTTCTGGAGACCTGAGGTGGAAGTTCAATTCCAGAGAAAAACAACCTCATTATTCAAACTGAAATCTTCAAAAGGCCTCTTTTGAAGCAAGAAAACTAACGGGACAGAGCAAAGAACTGGCTGAGCAGGGCCAGGCCGCCAAAAAGCTGGATTGTTTCTGATAAAGACGGACAGCCTCAGCATCCGATCGAGCAAAGATCCAGAGCTGTTTTATGTACCCGTGCATGCATGCAGCCAAATTAATCAGAGTTCTGTTCTCTTGGAAATGATGCTCCGCGTTGGGAAACTGGGCTTTTAGGTTAGCAGGAGCTATCCAACGCTGCACAACTGAACTGAGGATGAACCCAACAGCAAGGGCGCTTGCAAACACTGCTATCCAGCCAAGGCACCCTTCCTCCACCAGCTCCCAGGTCTGAGTTCTTGCACCACAAGGAATCCAGAGGGAAGCTCGGCCCTTGATCTGCAAGTCCAGCTCCAGCTTTCCTAGAAGTCCAAAGGGCTCTCTCTCTTTCCACCCATTTCAAAATCAGCACAAAGCCTCTTCAGCCCTCACCCCAGCGGGTGCACGACCGTGTCTGTGAAGGCACAGCACCTGCTCTCCAGGCTGAAAGTCTCTGGTTCAGTTCCCGGTCTCTGCAACCCACGAGAACCACTGCCGCTAACGGAAGATGTTACTGAACAGATGGACCCAGGGTCTGACTCAGTTTAAGGCAGATTCCTACATTTCATTTTTCAATGAGCACTTAACCAGAACGATCAGGGCAAGAGTCTTTCTCTGTTTTCATTTGGAACCATAAGGACTAGAATCTCTCCCTGTTTTCATTCGGAACCATAAGGACTAGAATCCTACTCAATTTTTGGGAAAGCAGAGTAGCACAGAACACTTTGCCTACCAGACCTCCCATGTCTGATTCCTGGAATTTCCTGGCAGGGCTACAAAGGATTCCCAGCTAAATCCCAAATTGCTGTTGCCAATCAGTACAGGCAATATGGAGATGGGTGGACCGAGGGCTTGACTTGGGATAAGGCAGCCGCCGCCGCCGTGTTGCGCCGCCAGCGCCACATCCAACCAAGGTATCCTGTCCCTCTGGCCCCGATTCCTTCTCAGTGCCCACGGGTTTTAGGACCCTCCAGCCCCCGACGGCTGCAAAGCCGCTGCGACTCACGATCAGGATGAACACCCCCAGGAGCTCCGCCAGGCACTGCCGAGCCAGGAGGCTGCGGAGATGGAGGCAGGCCCGGGCCTTGGCCAGGAAGCGGGCGTAAGCCATGCCAGCCGGCTCGGGAGGAAGCAGCTCGGCGGAGAAAAGATCCTGCCGAGGCTTATATGCGTGTGCTGCAGAGCGTCACTCATTTGCTACCAGTGATAACACATTACCCTCCGCGGAACGCTTGCCGATCGCCCGGGCGAGTTATGCGAGGGCAAAAGGACACAGTGCGGAGCGACTCCCTCCCCAGAGCAGCCGGGAGCGTGGCCAAGGAATGCCCATGCTCCGCTCCCGGCCCTGGAGCCATGGGCCCTGGAGTGCGCCGCAGCACCCGGCCGGCTCGCGAGGAGGCTGCTGCGTGGCGAGGCCCCGCCTGAAGTTCGCACGGCTGGCCCCAGGCGGCTTACGGAGCCACCCTTCATCCTCACAACAACCCTGCGGGGTAGGTTAGGCTGAGAGGGGGAGCCTGGCCTGAAGGAAAAGGGAAAAGGAAAAGGGTTTGGCCTGGTTACCTGGAGGAGCGTCTCCTTCCATATGTGCCCGCCCACCCCTTAGGATCCGGGGCAGACGCCCTTCTCCGGGTGCCTTCCCTGAAGGAGATTAGGAGGGTGGCCACCCGGAGAAGGACCTTCTCTGTGGTGGCTCCCCGACTCTGGAATACGCTCCCTAGAGGGGTTCGCCTGACGCCGTCACTGTATTCTTTTTGGTGCCAGGCAAAACCCTTTTTATTTTCCCAATGTTTTAAGACCCGACTGTTTGAATCGGGGTTTTCATGATTAGTTGAATTTTTAGGACGCCGTGTTTTAATTTTTTTACATTTTGTATTGTTAAACCATCCCAAGACTTCAGTAATGGGATGTTCTAGGAAAGGTTTAAATAAATAAATAAGTGGACCCCCCCCCAAGCTTTACTGCTGAGTCAGGACTCGAGCCCAGATCTCCTTGGTCCCACTCATGCAGGGAAGGAAGCTGTTGCTTTGTCCTTCGCTGCTGCCGCCAGATACAACCCCTGGTTTTTGTCTCTACCGATTACCAATCCTTTGTACATGTTGGCTTCTTTAATGTCTGTTTAAAAGGTAATTTAAATACCACAGAATTGCTGAGAGGAGGAGAGCCTCGCTGAGTCGAAAGGAGGTCAGAAGGGCTTCCGATCGGTTTAATGCAGCCCCCTTTGACCCTCCAGATGTTTGGGGCCACAGCAGCCTGCATCCCCGACAACTGACTGTGCTGAGTGGGGATGATGGGATCAGAAGTCTAAAACCTCCCAAGGGAAAGCTGTAGGTGATGGGAACGGCAGCCCGACTCATCTGGAGAAGTCTGGTGCAAGAGATGAATGTTATGTCTTTGCTTTAAAAATGCTTCCTTACAAAATCTTCCTTACAGGATTTTTTTTCCTGCTGACAGTGGGATGGGATGGGGTGGGGTGAAGCCCCTGGGGGTTCTGGCAGGAGGGCAAAGCTGCCTCCTTGATCCCCAGAAGTGACCTGACCCTATTTTGGGAGGAAATGACTGGCAAGGGGTTTCCCCCTCGACCTTGCTGGGCATCAAGCAAGGACACAGGCAAACCTCAAGCATAAATATAGATTTTTATTTCTTGCATCTTTCTGGTGATGCGAGGCCTTCTCAGAAGACAGAGGAGGGAGCATTGTTGGAAGCTGCAAGCAGAGGGGTTTGGTGTGCAAAAACCTGCGAAAGGAAAGAAGAAAAGGAGTGGGTGGAGCGGAGGAGAAGCCACACAGTGAGCGTGTCGCCGTGCCCAGCCTTTCTGGGAAAGCTCTGGGCAAAGTCGGCCGGGTCCCCAGTGGGGTGGACCAGGAGGAATCCCAAGGGTGCCCTTAACACTCTCAATTCTGGGAAGTTGTGCTCCTCCTGATGCTTCTGGGCTACAACTGCCATCATCTCCAAGCCAGCTGGGGATGATGGGAGTTGGGAGCCTAAAAACTTCTGGAAAGCCACAAGCTCCCTGGCCTTGCCCAGGAGCCTTTGCAGCACATGGGAATACACTGATGGGAAACAGAAAGCTCAGAAAGAATGACTGCTGGAAGGCGGTAGGAAACTCCTCTACCCTCCTCGACACCTCACCTCTAGTGCTACTCACCAGCCAAGCCTACCGGCTTGAGAACCAGCGGCGGAAGAAGGTATCCAGGATCGACCAGGAGTCACTCATATCCTCTCTGTGGCGCGAGTCAAAGGGCAACACGTCAGCTGTGAACAGAATTGCCCTGTTAGTTCCCGGTGCAATTCTCGCTTCCCACACGCCAATATTGCAATCGTAGCTTGAGAAACCTCACCAGGCTCATGAGGAACTTGACTTGCTATTTCTAAAACCCAAGGATATAAAGAAAGCTGCTAGCCTCAGAAAGCGGCATACTGTACTCAGCAAGCATACCGAGATTTCACCAGCCATAGCTCCTGCACTCCTGTATTTGCAGCAATAAGGACTAGAAACTTAAGTTGGTTTTTAAAAGAAAGAGAAAAAAAATCCCGAGATACTGTGGATGCCGCTTTCTGTACCTGAAAAGGGGAGTCTGCATCTATGCTATTTTGCCAAACAAAGCTCACATTCTTACAAGTCTATATTTGAGGAAGGAAGGAAGGAAGGACGGACGGACGGACAGACAGACAGATGGACAGTCTCTCTGTCTCTCTCTGTGTGCTTGGAATCTAATTTTTTATCTGAGATTTCAGCAAGCACTGTCTATATTTTCCCATTAACTATACGTTTTGACTGGAAAGCATGAAGACCAGAAACCTTGTTTAAGAAAAATGAAAGCTGGGATCTGCAGACTTCTGCAGAATCTGTCCTCCTTCCCCTCTCTCCTCACCTGGACTGCCCTGCTGGCCACTGCTAGGTTCGCCTCCACCCCTGCGGGTGACGACCGTCTCCTCCCGGCCCTGGCTGTCCCGCACAGTCCGACGTTCTTCAATCGTCTGAGGAAGCAAAACAGAGTGGCTGAAGAGTGGCTGAGATTTAGGGCAAGTCTCTGGGGTATATTTTGCAGCATGGTGTTGAAGAAGGTGGGCTGCCCAGGATCCGGGGGTAAGACAGGCTTCCCGAAGTTCATGTGGCAATGAACCACCCTGGACTGGCTCACCTGGGTGACACTCTGGGGCTGGGAAGGTGTTGGGCTCGGAGAGAAAATAGCTAGGATTCGTAAGAGGTGTTGCCTCTACAGCCGTTCTTTTAAGCCAGAATAGTTCTGGTCACAAATTTAGCAACGTGGCGAATTATTCAAAGAGAAGGGGAGACCAGCATTAAAGAGATGCCTGCACCTTCCTCATCATGAGGACCAGAAACATACTCCTTAAAAAGAGATGGCCTATTCAGATCCTCGAGTGTTAAGTGCCGCTTCCTTTTCCCTGATCATAGAAGACTGGAGCCGGTCCTACTCTGATGCCTAAGCAGGTACCTGGTTGTTCCCCCAGTCCCATGAGGACTAGAAAGTTGATGTTTTCTAGGGTGAAAATGCAAGCCAACGTTCCCACAATCTAGCCAAATCTCCCAGAGTCTGCTAGGGGTTCCATTTTATGATTTGTAGCAGAAAAAGAACCAACTCTTTCCTGCATGTCAGAAACTAGTTTTGTTGTCCTCAACGTTTTATTCTCACAACAACCCTGTGAGGTCGGTTGGGCTGAGAGTCAGTGACTGGCAAAAATCAGCCAGTGAGTTCCATGGCCAAGCGGGGAATAGAACCTTGATCTTCCCAGCCCAGCACTCCAACCACTATACAACACTGTCTCTCCAGAGTATACAGACATACACTTTTGCCTCCCAGAATCCCTTGCACTCACTCCATCTGGTGCTATCACTTTGGTGACTGAGACGCTTTTGAAATAAGACCGAGGTTGGGCTGGCGGAAGAACAGTCTCAAGGCCTTCGGACGTGACATGAGAATCCAAATCTACGAAGGAGGCAAAATTCAGCAGGTCAAAGTAGCTTTTCTTAGACAAGATTTTTTCTTTAAACCAAACAGATTAAACTATCTGGAGGCAAGAAAAGAGGGAGAGAGGTGTTTCCACTTAGTTCTGAAACACTAAGGACTAGAAAACATAACTGTTGTCCCCCAGAGACTCATGAGAGGAAGAGATACCTGAACACAGAGGGATTCTTCCCAAACAGAACATGAAAATTCCCACATCACATAGCACATTTCCACACCTGTAGGCTAAGGACCCCCCGGCCCCCGCTTAAAGCCTTATGGTCCATTTATTTATTAAATTTATATGCCGCCTTTTCTCTTACAAAGCGCTCAAAGTGGCTGACATCATTCTCCTCCTCCATCTTCTCCCCACAACAACAACCCTGTGAGGTAGGTTGGCTGAGAGTCTGTGAGTGGCCCAGAGTCACCCGTTGGCTCCATGGCTGAGCCAGTTACAGAGAGCCTGGATGGTCTGGAAAGACCGACGTCTGCGGCTCAGCGGATCGTTTGCCCCAGACGACAGCTCACTCAAGCTCACCCGGATGCGTGGGCCTGCCTCTCACCTCTGTCCTCCTTGGAGGTGTCCGTCACATCTTCAGCGGCTCGCTGCGAAAAAGAGAAAAAGCAGACAGTCCATCGCCCTGCAGCTCATGGAGTGACTTTGGGCCAGTCACGGGCCCTCAGCCTGAACCACCTCGCAAGGCTGTTGTGAGGAAGCCAGTGGCGCGAGGGGCTCCGGAAGCCATCTTAGCTTCGCTGCAGGGAAAAGTCACGAGCCGCCGCGGTGTCTGAGCAGACACAAGGGCCGCCCTGCACAGAGCACGGTGCAGTAATCGAATCACCAGGTTAGCCTGCATCGATCGATGTGAGGAACCCTTCCAAAATGATCCCCCACAACCTGCTGAGAAAGGAGAAACCTAATCCAAATTGTACCCTCCAAAATTCTACCATTTTATTTATTTATTTATTTTCCTATTTATATCCTGCCTTTTTCCTAGGGCTCAAGGCAGCTTACATCTCCTCCTCCATCTTATCCCCACAGCAACAACCCTGTGAGGTAGGTTGGGCTGAGAGTCTGTGACTGGCCCAAAGCCACCCAGTTGGCTCCATGGCCGAGAGGGGACTTGAACCCGGATCGCCTGAGTCCCAGTCCCATGCTCTCAACCACTACACCACACTGGCTCACATAATGGGCATTAGAGGCAGAAAAGCCCATGCTCTTTTTCACGTGGGTCCCTTTTATTTGCAATGCTTCTGAAGACAACTCTGCCCCCAAACAAAGGCGAAAGATCGACCGAGACAGCCCTGGATTCTCAGTACTACATACCCCTTGGAAAGGGTGCAAAGGTCTCCTCTCTGGAGTGGCAGGGTTGAAGCCATCCTCTAAGGTTCTGCGGCTGAACCGCTGACTGTCCGGGTATTTGAGCATGGAATCCCGCAGGGTTTGCCTCTTCTCCAGAGGGCGGTCAGCCGGCGGGGGGGCCTCCACTCCAGGGAACTCTGCCAAGAGAAGAGGAGGCAACACCAGTAGCTCAGCCGTGAATGCACTGAAACACCTTAACTCTCCTCCATGGCCCGTTTGAGAACTGGCTGTGCCTTCCATAGCAGGGCAGCCTTGCGTGTCAACCTCCCTGGGTCAGTCTTCAGGTGTGTGCTCAGGTGTGTGCTCAGTTTCACTTTGGCCAACAGCCCTGTCATGCCAGTTCAGCTTTCCGAGTCGAAGCACCTTGCCTGGTTGCTTGTTTGCAAGTGGCTTGCAGGTGTTATTCCTCTGTGATTTAGCCGGGACATCTTTGCTGAATCTGAGCTGCCGAGAATTACCCAAGTGGCCCTGATGCCAAAGCTGCTTGGTAGCGAAGTGTTAACAAAATGACCTTACTTAGCACAAAATGACCTTACTTTTGACTGAATGTGGAATCAAATAGGTCCAATTGTACTTTAGAGAGATGAGAAGATGTTGGCCTGCTATTCAACCTGAAAACAGGGAATGCTGTTACTCCTTAATATATATAATTTTAGGAACACCAGTCAAATTAAATGTAAAAATATCCTTTGCACAAAATTATTTTTTGTTATTGTTTCCTTCCTGTGCTGAATAAACAATAAGGAACATGGGATAGGATGGCCACATTTCAACATACAAGTTCTCAAAATATCCCTCCCACCTTTCTGATATCTCTGATTTCATGTCTGTGGCTAGTAAAACATCTCAAGATTGGACAAATACCAGTTTTGCAGGGATGCAGAAACAGTGCAGAGTTGGCCACAGAATTCAGCTTTCAATTAAAAACAACAATAAAAGTTTCTAGCCCTTATGGATGTTCCATGCAGCAACCCTTGGACACCTGTGATGACCCTTGATCACCCCCAAACCAAATTGCAGAACCCAGCCTCCCGACCTGCATCATTGTATATTTGTAATTTATTTTAATGTATATATTTTAAAATGTTATTTAACTTATTTGTTGTAAGCCGCCCCGAGGCTTCGGCGAATGGGGCGGCATAAAAATGTTTTAATAAATAAAAAAATAAATAATAAACACCAGGCAAATGCACAACACCTTGCCTACCAAACGGATGCAAGGGCAAACTCCTTGCCCCCATCTCGCTAAACAGATCGTTAAAATCCTGGAAGAGCTCATCAAAGCCAAAGCTGTCATGGAAGCGCATCCCTCCTGGGCCAAAAGTGAACCCAAATGCAAAGTCATCAGAGCGTCTTGCCCCAAAGAAGGGGCTCTCATCCTCATCCTCATCATCCTCGTCCTCATCGTCCCGTGTGATTCCCCCAAAGAAGGGGTCTCGGGGCCTGAGAGAGAAAAAGAGAAGACGAATAGGGAAGAAGTTCCAGTGACTAAGGAGGGAAACAATCGCCTGAAGATCCTGAAAAATTGAGGAATGAACTTCTGGCAAGTGATGATGCAGACATTCTGCTATACAAGTTTTCTCAGCAGCTTAGTACCAGGTAAATAGACAGACATTCCAATCCTATATGCGTTCATTCTGCAATAAGTGCTATTATGTACCATGCGATTTGATCCCTCCTGAAATGTGCACAATCCCATATGCTGTGGGCTGGTATAGAAATAAAACCAATAAGACGCATGTTTACAAGAGAGTAAGCATCACTGAACCCAGCAGGACCAACTCCTGTGCAAATAGAAATCATATTTGCACAGCAAAATTCCTTGATGCAAGGCAAAGGGCATGTATTTCCACTGAAATCTAATTCACCAGTTGCTGTTATGAAATTTTAGCTTTAGCCAAGCTTCAGGCTAGAAACAAGGTGTTTACTAACATGGCTTGGGATCAGATAAACAAGAAAAACTGCTCCCTATTTTAGCAGTTATGCTAATATATTCTCCTCCTCCAGTTGCATCAGACACTTCCCTCTGCCTTGGCATTGCTGGCTGGGCATGATGGGAGCTGCAATGCAAAGCATCTGGAAGGGGCTAGGTCGGCCTAGGCTGTTGTACTTCAGCGGCCAGGGAGGCATCAACGTAAAATCCCCAATTTTCCATGAAAGCAAGCATCATGAGATCCTTCTTCAATATGGTCGTTACAAAATTAAATTTTAAAGAGCAAAAAGTTAGCCACTTGAAATCATTTCGAGTATTTATAGAGAGGAGAAATCCGGACAGGTAGAGTGCACAGAATACAGTGGGCTTCCCCAACCTGGTACCCTCCAGCTGGCCTGGGAGTTGTAGGCCAACACATCTGTCTGGTGCACGCCAGATGGAGGAAGGCTTGGTGGAGGTGCGGGTGATGCCGGTGGCAGGCAGAGATTCAACCGATGAGGCTTAAAATCCGCCTTGGAGCAACGAGGGGCAAAGCTGTGCCGGTGGGATTTCTGCCTGCCACCCCCGTTCTTTGAAAGGCTGCTAGGGTGAAGAAAATAGGCGCAGTCCGCGCACGCCCCTCAGTGCAAGGCGGGATGGCCCGCTGAGGGGGCGGCCACCCTCATCTCTCACCTCCGCTCCCCGCGGAAGCCGAAGAAACCCCGGAACAGGTCGTAGAGGCTCATTCCACGGCAGTCGTAAAGCGACGACGCCCGCTCCTTCCTCTTCCGCCACCCTGCCGCGAAACGATCCGTTCCCCGGATGCCGTAAGGCAAACCCGCCTTCACGACCTCCTGGAGGTGGAGCTATCAAGAACGCATAGATGTATGAAATGAGGAAGAAGTGCCCATTGCGGGCGACTCTCCGGTTTCCATCAAGCTTTTTTTTTTTTTAATGCTACTGTAAACTACTGATAGAACTCCGTTCAGACAGTCGGAATTGTATTTATTTATAGCTCAGTCTGATACGTCCGCCTTCCCCGAGCAGACGCGCTGGACTGCAACGTCCATCGTTTCCAGAGAGCGCTGTTTGCAGGAGATTTAGTCGAACCTATGGGATTTCTGAATTTCTTGGCAGGTGTTTACAGACTGCAACCTAAAAGCTGTCTGAATGTTGCAAACAGGTTTCTAAGAAGTCAGTTTTGCCCGAGAGAGATTCCTTCGTCTTGGCCTGAGTTGTAGCTGAAGCATCTCTTGGTTCCGTCGTCTCTGCTCAGAACTGGGCGCTCACTCCGTCTCACTCCCTGCCAGTCTGGAAGGGATCCTGAGGAGCTGAGTCTTAAGCCGCAATGCTGCAAGTTTGCAACACTCTCCGAAACTGAGTTTCCACCATGCAGGATGGACGGCTGACCAGCAGAGGGCCCAGAATATGGCAGTTGTCAGGAAGTGCCTGGAGTCATTCGCCTGGAGATCTTACTGGACTATTAGTGTGGGATACAGGTTTAATAAATAAGTCCTACTTGCGACATGCGAAGAATCGTTTTTCCAGCCAGTGCCCAAGGCAAGCCCTGTTGTCAGATGGAGGAGGCACCGTGTGGTGTGCTCTGTCGCTGAACGATGCAGTAATCTGTCGCCACCACTGGGTCCAGGCTGGGGTGGAAGAGGGAGGGAGGGAGCACTTGGCATCACGGAGGGTCCCCTTCCCGCAGCTCCAAAGCATGACGACTCATTGCTAAACGACTCATGTAGACGGAACGGTCTCTTTGGTTTGAATCTGGGGCAACACATCCCTTCTCCGGTAGTCACCGCTATTCACATGGGCACTGCACACAAGTGCCACTTTGGACCAGGAAGACCCCACAGGAAAGATTTGGGAGCAGTGCCTAACGGAAGGACCTAGGAACAGAAAGGCCCACCGAGCACTTCCTCGGTGGAGACTCATCCTGCATTGCTGTATGACTCTCTGAACAGATCCAACTGTGACCATTGATTAGCTGTATTTGGGGAACCCCTAAGTGGAATAACTAATAAGTGAGCTTGAGAGAGAGAAAGAGAGAGAGAGAGAGTTGGTATAACTTTTCCCATATTGGTATTTCATGGCTTCTCTCCTCCGCTTCCATAACATTTCATCCTGTGCAGCCACCTCATATCATGAGGACTAGTCTCACCTGCAAGAGGAACAGAGGTCAATCTGGTTCCTATGGAAGTATGAACGGGAGTGAGATAGGGAAGAATTCAAGGTGGTGGACTTGACCTCCTATCTTTGGTTTTCTTTTTAAATATCTGCGTGTAAAATGATAGCTTGAAACTTCAACTTGGTGCTCAGGAGCCCAGCCAAGAAACCATTTTTTCACGTCTTGCTTTCAGGCCTCAGCCCACGATATAGACAGATTCCTTCTTCCACAGAAAAGGACTGAGGACACCAGGATGGACTCTGATCCCTCCCCCCTCCCCCCACCAAAAACGTCCCCAAATATTTCTAAGTCTTTCTGAATTGAGCCTTGTACGAGCATTCTCAGCACTTGCAAAAGTTCGGAAAGTGGGAACCTTGTGCCCACAAACTTACAAAGTCATAATTCACCGACGGGCTTCAGAGAGCAGCAAGGCCAAGCCACGTCCATCTCCAGGACTGTGGCCCCCACTGTCCCATTGCACACAGCCCTGACGCACAGAACTACTCCTAATCATTCATTCCGAGAGAGAGGCGAATGGCAGTCCCCGCAGCCTGGTGCCCAGCAGGTGTAAAGGACTTCAGCTCCCAGCATCCCTGTCTGGCCCGTCTCACGGGCGGCACGTGGGATGGAGAAAGTTAGCTCCCCCCGTGTCACTTGGTAGCTGAACAAAAGATGTTCTCAAATGGCGGGCATGCGTGTGGACTGGCCATAAAAGCTGAACAGGAAAAAGGCGAGGCCCAGAAGACAGAGTGGGGTTTTCATTTTTATATACAAGACACATTTATCCATTAAATTTAGAACACAGTACAAAAAAACACTTCAACTAATTAATCTTACAACGCGGTTCATATCAATTACTGCTCTTATTCCTAATAATAAAGGGCGGGGCATTGTTGGGGGATGGGGGGGATTCCAGGTGTTGACTCCTTTGGATCCGCTGAGCGGTGCTTTTTTGGGGGGCGAGGGAGAGAAGTAAAGGAGTAGAAAAAAAGAAAACAAAAGGCCGTTACAGCTGAATAGCTTGTAACGTGCATGAATGCAGAAAAAACAAGAGAGAGAGGAAATGGCGGGGCGGGGCGGGGCGGGCGGGGGGAGAAGATACAAATTCTATATTACATACAATAGCGGGGGAAAGGTGGCTGGGGAGACCGCACAGCCCAGCCCCGCTGGCCAGGTTTGCCGGGGACGCCGGGGCCGTGCTGAGAGCGGGGCAGCTCTTCTCCCGAGGGGGGGTGGGGGGTCCGTCCTTCTTGGTCGGGTCGCGGTCGTTCTTCTGCCCGCCTCCTGGTTGAAGTGTGGGGCTGCCTCAAAGCCCCTCAGTTGGCGCCCCAGTTGTAGCTGTTGTAGGCGGATTTGCTGGCCTGCGATTTCTGGGGGATGGAAGTGCCTTGGCTGCGCTGGCCGGTGCCACTCTGCGGGGGTGGGAGGAGCGGGGAGAACAAAAGAGGGAAGTGGAAGGAAGAGAGAGACAGCGGCTGAAGCTCTGCCCGTCCCGCTCCTTAGGCCTTGTTCCGAGAAAGCCGACCGACAGCAGAAGCCGCAGGGAAGGTGCTGCGCTGCGGTGCTGAGCGATCAACGCACACGCAGTTCAGCTCGACAGAAAGGTTGCTCTGCTCACGCCCAGCAGCCAGGCCTCTGGCCAGCTCGCCGCTCTCCCTGTTGCCTCCTTCTAGGCACAGGGCAGCCAACCGTCAGGCTCCCGGGATCTACGTCTGTCTGTCTGTCTGTCTGGCCTTTTCCCTCTTCTTTTGCTCAAACCGAGCACAGTCGTGTGCACCGTAGTGGTTTCGGCTTTGCGCTCGTAGCACAGGGCAGGCACGAGGCAGCTCAGGCAGGACAATGATGGCACCCCAGGAGCTTTGCAGTGGAGCGACCAACTTTAAGCAGGACGACTCTGCATCCTGGTGGTTCGAGATCAGCCATTCGAGCAGCTGACAAGGGAGTTCTGAAAACCCCTCCACTGCTGCCGTGAGACTGGGGAACCCTGGCCGCCGCCGAGGAGCAATCCTGCCCTGGCCAGGAGATCCTCAATCCACCTTCCGCCACACCTGCTCTAGAGGAAAGATCCTGGAGGATGCCATCAACTGTAGCGTGATCCTAATTACACTGTTCTTATGGAGATCTGAATTGCCATCTCTTTGGAAGCCAATCGTGGTTGAAAAGCAGGGAACAAACAGAACTATTCATGAATGAATGTGCAGGGTATCCAAATCCAAGTGGGAAGGACGTTCAAAAAACTAACACTCTGCGACACGTTGTCTTCTGAGACAGTGTCAAGTGATGGTCTAATGATCTCCTCCTTTAAATCAGTGGACCCGGGTTCTAGTTTTCTGCTGCAGGGACCTCCAAACTGCACATTCAGCGTTTAGTGGGGTGAGTACTGCGCCTTGCAATGCGTGATGTTATGACCGGTCAGGACACCGATTCAGCAGCGGGCCGCAGTGTCCAAAGGGGGACGGACTGCATGCCCCTGCCCCATACGGCTGAGGCCAGCTGCCCCAACCCTGGGGAAGCTATGCTGATTTGCCTCCCAGACTTCCTGCTTTTGCGTAATTCCTCCTGGCGAGCCATAGCAGCGATGCCTGTACAGCCCCAGAACCAAGTGAGCAACGGGGGGGTGAACTATCCGCACGGCGTCCACCCTGGGCGTGGGCTCTGCCTGCGCTTGCGTTGCCATGCATGCCAGCCTCGGGGCAACGCACTGCATGCTACCAGGGCAGCAGGGTGGGTGCAAGAAGGGATGCCTCCGAGAGTTGCGTTACCTGGTCCTCCTGCTGGCGTTGGAAGTACAGAATCGACTGCCAGTGTTTGGGAAGGTGGAGGCGGGCCGAGGATATGGAAAATATAAGGATACATTATGGCAACCCCCCTGGACCCAAGAGTGCAAGGAGAAGCTTGAGGGTGGAGCATACCAAGTCTGAGGAAAGGCAGGGGGCACTCTCCGGTCAGACTGGGTATGACCCAGCAGTGGGGGTGGGGGGGCAAGAGCGCCTTCAGTGACCCCAGGGGTCTTCCCCGTGTCTGCGTGTGCTGCATCCGTCATCCGTGTCTCCACGCTAAGGGGGCTGGAGGAGGAAGTGGGACCACGGGACAGCAGGCGAGCGTGCCCGGGAGGGAGTGTCGGGGGCCCCTGCTTACCTGCCCGTCCTGCTGCAGGTGGTGGTGCAAGATCTGGGAGTGGGCCTGCTGGTGCGGCGTCAGGATGTGCATGAACGGGGCTGGGGGATACGCGGCGGCCGTGGCAGGGTTGATGGGGCCGCTCCCACCCAGTGCTGACGGCAGGTTGAACGAGGCTGCTGGGGTCCCGGTGTGAAATCCCTGCTTTTCAAAAGACTGCTGCAGGAGCAGAGAAGCGTATTTAGGGTGGGGAAGGGAGACAGACACAGAATCTCTCCTCCCTCCCTCCCACCTACACACACAGCATTCGCGCTACATTTCCAAACCTTTATGTGGTTTGCAGCTAAAGAGTTCAGCGGTTGCTGAAGGTCTTCCTCTCTCAGGGATTCCGACCTTCAGCTTTTTAAATATAAGAAGGAAGCCTTCCACCTGCTGTTTTGGGTAGTAATTTTGACTGGGAATTAATTATGTTATTATATGTCTTCTTTTTGTTATTATTTTAGCCTGCACAGTAAACCAGCTTGGGCTAAATCCTCG